CAATGTGACTTCATCTTAACTTGATTACATCTGCAAAGGCCTTATTTCCATATGTGTCAAAAAACCAACTCAAACTGTGTTTTTTCTCTCTGCTCTCACACCACAACAATCAACATGGAAGACTTCTGGAACCAAATATCGGAGGGGTTCCACACACACTAAGCAAGTAATCACTTCTGCAGTGAACACCAGCTGGATGTCCTCCAATTCAAACGTGACTCTATCTACCCAGGGATGTCATCAGATCCCACAGGTCAGGGCCTCAGTCCCCAAGACTACCCACCCCTGCCAGCCACAAGTCCAGACCTCAGGAATGTCTGACCAACTGGCTTTAAGTTGGGGTTCCCAGAACCCCCTCTTTGGATTACATTACTTTTCTGGAGCAGCTCACAGAACTCAGGGAACATATTTACCAGTTCGTTACAGAGGATATTAGAAAGGATAGAAATGAAGAGATGCCTAAGGCAAGATGTAGGGGAAGGGCCACAGAACTTCCCAGGCGCACCTCCCTCCAGGCACCTGCATGTGTTCAGATGTCCAGAAGCTTACCAAACCCGGTCTTCAGGGACCCTGTGTGGAGACTTTATTAGGCAGGCATGATTGACAACCACATAGAAATGTGATGGGACAAAAAGGGTCCAATCTCACACTGCTAGACTGAGTAGGGAAACCCAGAAAGGCCTGTCTGTTCAGATTCTTCTCGGCCTCTCTGTGCAGCATTCCTTCCCTCAGGGTGGTGTGGGGCAGGACTCCCTCCGCGTGTGGGTCTTAGGACTTACAATTAGATAAGGTAGGTCAGAGAACTTCCCTAAGGCCAGCTCTAAGCCAGCAAGGCAGGGGAAGATTCCTGCCCTGGGGAGCAAAGGTTGCAGGTGGAAGGAGGGTTGGGGAAGATCAGAGAGAGATTCTGTTTTCTGAGGCTGCTCCTGAGGCCTGAAGCACCCCAACATTATAACAAGGGCCATGGGAGTTACATATTGATAACTCATGATATCACACCATATAAGGCCCCATTCATGGGTTCCAGGGGTACAGAAATTTGGGGAGTCACTATTCAGCCCAGTTTTGTCCATATTTCCTTGGAAATCCACATCAGGCTTGAAACCTCAGAACCCTTCTGAAACACCCCATCCTCTTTGTGGTGAGGGGGGCGCCTTCCAGCCCTTGCCAGGATGATACATGGCTCTTATCAGATGTGTGCAAAAATCTGTTGATTTTGCTTCTGACTCCACTGTGGTCATGTGACTCCACAGCCTCTCACCCA